TGGCCCCTGCACTCAAACACTGAGAAATCTGTCTGCGCTGGTGAGTGTCTCACTCCAAGTCAGTATGGATAGAGCCAGGGCCGTACTTTCCTTCTCTAGTGATATGGTTTGGATCTGTGTCCCATCCAAGTCTCACGTTGAAATGTAATCCTCAGTGCTGGAGGTGGGACCCGATGGAAGGTGATTGTCTCATAGGGGCGGTTTCTCATTAATGATTTAGCCCCATCCCTCTTGGTGATGTTGTTGCGATAGTGAGTTATCGCAAGGTCTGGCTATTTAGAAGTGTGTGGCCCCTCCCCCACCCCCTCCTCCTGCTCTGGCTATGTGAAGCGCTGGTTTCCCCTTCACCTTCCACCATGATTGCAAGTTTCCCGAGGCCTCTCCAGAAGCTAAGCAGATGCTGCCATGCTTCCTGTACAATCTGCAGAATCATGAGCCAATTAAACCTCCTTTCTTTGTAAATTACCCAGTCTCAGGTATTTCTTTACAGCAGTGTGAGAACTGACTGATATCTAGGAAGGACAGTAACAACAGAATCCACTTTTGCTATCGGCTTTAAACCAAACTATTCTCTGCGGAACAGGAAAATTGAAGCAGAAAGAGAGAATGGAAAGAAAAGAGGTGGCTAAAACACATTTAAGGTGTGTACAGGTCAGTGAAAAGGGAGAGAAACTATGGGCTTTCTAAATTACTTTTGTTAATGTGTATTACACCACACTCAACTGGATACATCAGTATCATCATGGTTCTTCTAAAAATCAATAATTACCTATCTGTAGTAGATTTCCTATACTAGCCTACTTTTCTTCCTTTTTTCATTTCTAACATCTTAGTTAATTCTATGACTCCCGAGGTCTTACCACATCCACCCCTCTGTGTACAACATGGCTGGATCACGCTTCCCAAAGTCTGGTTTTAGTCATTCAGTACTCCTCTAGAACATTGTAATGGCTCCCTAAAATGCTCTTATCATTAGCCTACAATTCAGAGCTCTGTGTATCCTGGTCCTAACCGACTTTGAAGAGCTACCACAATACTAATCCTATACCTAGGCCAATCTAGACTGCTCTTCCTTCTGAAGAAATAGTTGTGCTTTTCCTCCACACTCAGCCCAAGCATATCTAGCTCCACTCCACTGTGGCCAATGGGACAACACAGCTATCAAAAAAGAAGAGACATTGAGCCAGGATGCCTATAATCCCAGTGACTCCAGAGGCTAAGGCGGAAGGATGGCTTGAATCCAGGGATTCAAGGCTGCAGTGAACTATGATCTCACCTCTGCACTCCAGCCTGGGTAACAGAGCAAGACCTTGTCTCAAAAAAAAAAAAAAAGGAAGGGGGATCTTGTCCTGTTCTCTACTGCATCCTCAGTGCCCAGAACCAGATCTGGCACTTCGTAGATGCTCAATGATATTTTTCTTTTCAGTAAATAAATGGAACAGGCCATTTCCTCTGACTGAAAAGCTTTCTGTCTGGCTCTTCAGTTCTCAAAATCCTTCTGTCTCAGTAAGCCCTATGTCACTTTTTAGAACATGGCACTGAAACTCTTTGACACATCTCTCACTGAGACTTGTCATAATGGCCCTTCCCTTGAATCAGCGCACCAGGAATGCTGGACCAATAAAACACAATGGAAGTAACACTGCAGTGGTTATAAAAATATGCCCACCAAATTCTTTAATACTCCTCCTTTGGGGTAAAACCTGTTTCCTTCCCCTTCCCTGTGGGCTGAACTTAGTGACTTGCTTCTATTCACTAAGCAGAAGTGACGCTGTGTGACTTTGAAGGCTAAGTCCTAACAAGGCACTGTGGTTTCTGTCTTATTTGCTCTCTCTCCCTCAGATCACTGGCTCTGAGGAAATCAGCTGCTATGTTGCAAGAGGTCCTATGGCACAGCTCTTGTGGCAAGGAACTGAAGCCGTCTGTTAACAACACATGCATGAGCTTGGAAGCAGATCTTTCAGTCCCAGCCAAGCCTTTAGATGACTGCAGCTCCAAAGTGTGTCTTAACAGCAACCTCATGAGACCCTGAGTCAGAGCCATCCAGCTAATTCACTCTGGACTCCTGTCTGTCAGAGACTGTGAGAGATAAAGGTTTGTTGTTTCAGGCTATGAAGTTTGGGGGGCCACTTACTACACATTAATAGAGATGTATGCCAGTTTCTGAATTCAGACCTTAAGAATAAGAAATTTCCATTTCCTTTCTCTTGGGACACTCGCTCTTGGAACCTAGCAGCCATGTTGTAAGGAAGCCAAGTTGCCTATAGAGAGGCCCACAGAGAGAGCACTCAACAGCCAGACCATATGTATGCACCATATTTGGTGTGGATTCTCCCACCAAATATGGGAGCCACCCCAGTTGAGCCACCCCAGTTGTCCCTGCCAAGCCCTGCCCAAATTGTATTTCCATGGGCAAAATAAATAACTGGTCATATTTTAAGTCACAACATCTTGAGATGATTTATTATGCAGCAGTAGACAATGAAAACAGATTTCGGTATCTGGATATGGAATGCTGTTGTAAAAATATCCTAAAATCAAGGCATTGGTTTGGGGACGTGGTAGTAGGCAGAAGCCTCATGGGCCTCAGTGAAGGATGAAAAAAAGTAAGAAAAATATATCAGAAGCTAGAAAAAAAATATCCTTGTAGTGGCAAAAAGTCATTGAGTTACCAACTGAGGCAATATAAAAAAGAGTCCTTAATAATTGTAATTATATATCCAAGGAGATTTCCAGGCAGAATACAGAAGTGCCCACTGACCTCCTGTCACTGCCTGTGATGAAATGCAGGAGAAGAGAGATGAATTAAAGAATAAACTGTTACATGTAAAGGAGCTAGATCTGACCAGGTTTGAAAATGAAACTAATTTCTTATTCCTGCTCTCTGCAAATGGTGAATAATTCTCAAATTAAGAAAGGGCCTCAGGCCATAGATCAAAGTCAGGATGGATGTATTAGTCCTTTCTCACACTACTATAAAGATACCACCTGAGATTGGGTAATTTATAAAGAAAATAGGTTTAGTTGGCTCACAGTTCTGCATGGCTAGGGAGGCCTCAGGAAACTTACAATCATGGCAGAAGGCAAGGGGAAAGCAAGGTACCTTCTTCACAAGGTGGCGAGAAGAATGAATGCAGGAAGAACTACCAAACACTTGTTAAACCATCAGATCTCAAGAGAACTCACTCACTATCATGAGAACAGCATGGAGGAAACCACCCTCATGATCCAAACACCTCCTACCAGGTCCCTCCCTTGAATGTGGGGATTACAATTTGAGATGAGATTTGGGTGGGGACACAGAGCCAAACCATATCATTCGGTCTACAAATCTAAGAGAGAGAATCATAGAAACTTGAAGGCAGACAAAAGACCCCCTAAGAATCTTAATGACATCTCTCAAGATCCTCTCCATTCAATAGGGGTTTTAAGAATCTTACCTAATGAAGTGAAGGTTTGCCCATTCTGAAGGTATCGAAATAGGAGGAAACAGAAATAGCATTATATGCAGGAGTTGCAAAAAAATGTCAACCACCTTATCACCAGTATCACCCATTGACTGAAGGGCTCGTCCACCAAAGAGCATACAGTGCAATCAGAAAATAGTGAGGTCAAAAGGTCAGTTACCAGGAGGGTTAATTCAGGTCATCCTTCAACAGATCAGGCCTTACCAATTTTCTCAGCTGACCAAAGAGCTAAAACAGGAAACCTACCCCATATGCAATATGCCGTCTTAGGCATTTTCCCTGGAGTCTGAAGAGAGATTATTCACACTGGAGTGAGGCTATCTCTGTTGCCTGAATTATACATTTCTTCCCTCGGGCTTAATACAGACTCATCCACCTGTATTCCTGGGAAAGATATATTGATTAAGAAAGGTAAAAACCCTAACTCAGAAGCAAGACTGTGTTCAATCTTCTTTTTTTTTCTCTTAGCAAATGGACTCATAATTTCAAGTAAATGGCATGTGAAGCTGTTAAGAGCCAAGCCCCACATTCGCACTGCCATGTTCTACGGGTTGTAAATAATACGCGTGACTGCACCAGGGACCAAATTGCTCATTAGCTGCCAACATTAGTTGTTTAATGATCTGAGGAGCAGAAGCTGCCAATTATTGTATTCCTTCTTAAAATACCATTTAAAACCCACACATGTAATTATTATACCTTTTCGTTAAATTTTCATGATTCTTTTGAAGCTGATGAGCTATGGGTCCATTCAACCTACAAAACTCAGAGAACTTTTTGAAGCTGTCATTATGTAACTGGGTTAAATATCTGTATATAATACACCAAGAGAGAGCCTGGACTTTAGCCCCAGGTCAGCCACTGCTGAGCTAATTGAGTGACCTTAACCAAAGGACACATCCCGCAGCCTCAACCTCCCCATCAGTCCATTCGGATCACGGTCTCTCTCCCATCTACCTAATACAGCAATTGTGAAAATAAAATAACAAATACAGAGGAGTGTTTGAACGCACTATTCAAATGATAGGATAAGATACTGTTTTCAGAGACTCTTGTTTTCAAGCTACTAATTAATGGAAAAATAATTCCTTAATAACTGCCAGACTAAGAGGGAGCATAATCCTTTGGGGATTCGCCAAGTTTCTGTGACTAGATTTTTAAACCGAGGACATCCATTTGTCTCATGCTACCATCCTTCCCCCACAGGAAGGGTCTGAGCACACCCAATAATCCTCATTCAGTGTTTACAGATACACAATACTACATACACATCTGCTAGAATCATATGGCACACAGAGTACATTCAGTCTCTAAACTCTTCAAGAAACAGGAACTGGAAGTCCCAAATGCGGTACTCAGATAAACAACTTGTGCTATATTATGTGTACATTAGTGAAACTCCCCAGAAAAGCTTTCAGATGTCTGAGAATGACATAATAACCGTGGAATGTTCATCGAGGGCAAAACACGGTGCGCTGGTGGCTGTCATTATTTTAGTTGGACAGCTTCAACATCTCCTACACTGCCAGTTACCTGATATGGCATGCATTTTGGCTTCAAGCAAGGCTGGTAGTTGGGTTTCAATATCGTTAACTTTCTTCCTCAGGGTGCTGCAGAATTTCTCACTCATACACACCTAGGGGGAGAGAAATGGCCAGGAATCATCATTTATTCAGCTAAAAATCAGAAGGCAGTAGAACAGCCAGGTCAGAGATTTCTGGATTTGTAAGTAATTAAAAGGGGTGATGAAGAGTAATTGGACCGCGATAATGCTCAAAAAGCAAGAAATGAAAAAGAAAGACAAGGAACAGAGGAAGGGAGGGGAGGAGAGGGAGGGAGAAGGAGGAAGGAAGGAGGAAGGAAGGATGGAAGGAAGGAAGGAAGGAAGGAAGGGAGAGAGGAAGAAGGAAGGAAGGAGAAGGCAAGGAAAGGAAGGAAGGAGAGAGAGGAAGGAAGGGAGGAAGGAAGTCAGGGAGGGATGGAAAAGAAAAGAAGGGAGGGAGGGAAGAAGGGAGAGAGGAAGGGAGAAGGAAGAAAGGGAGGGAGGGAGGAAGAAACAGGGAAGAAGGGAAGGAAGGAAGGGAAGGGATGGGAAGGAGGGAAATGGAAGGAAAAGAACAAAAATAAAGTGAGCAATGGTGTATTCCAAGCATATGCCCATCACCCACACTCAATTACAAAACCGATAGGAGCTAATCCAACAGAGAGCAACCACAAGTTAACATAATTGCATCACTCCTGCCTCCTGCCTTCTCCAGACCTTTGCCGAATCCTCCTGTCTGCATCACTTTCGTAGCCCCAGGTGGTTTGGCTCACTCATACGCTTCGGGACTCTGCTCAGTCGCTGCCTGGGAGGAAAGGCCTTGCTGATCATCCACCCAAAATAGCAGCCTCCCTTGGCCCTCCCTCTGCTTGATGTTTTTCCACAGCTTCCGCTCAGATGACACACTATGTACTTCTATTCCTTTGTTTCCACATTGTCTGTCTGCTGGGATACGAGCTTATGTGAGCAGGGACTTTGCTCTGTGCCTGGCACATAGTATGCAGTGAATAAAGATACGGCCATTGAGATGAAGGTCAAAGCTGCAAGCTAAATTTAATTACTAGTATTAATAGACACTGTTTAGGGAAACTTTGAAGGCAGATAGATACTTGCTGGCAAGTCAGATTTGAAAAATAGACAAGTAATTCTCAGTGAGGTTTGAGGGTTTTATCATGTATTTTCCCATAACATTCCAAACACATCCTACAGTTTTTTTCTTTGGTTTTTCAAAAACAGCAAAAATCTTAAATCTTAATTTCTTTTTCCAAATGTCTTTAGGTTATCTTTTATTTTGTTGGAGGCTAAAACATCACATTTTCCCCTTTTTGAACCCTTTCAGCAGTCTCAAGACTTTTCATATGCCAATGATATCTAGACTCAGATTAATGAGCTACCTAGAAAAATTTAATTTCCCAGAAGAATCTAGGGTTTGTTGGACACCATCAACTTTAAATGTTTTCTTATATCAGTTTGAATTGAGATTATTTTTAGAGTCAAAGCAGACCTCATCCATCCTGCCTAAAACACTCCACTGTTTCTCTCATGGACTTCCATATGTTCTATTCAGTGGCTATAATTTTCCAACATCTTGTTTATAAAAATCATTCTCTGGATGAAGACGACAGTTTGGTAGCCTCTAAACAAAGCCTGCACTGGTGGTGTTGGGCATCCACATGTCCAAAGTAATTAATTCCGAGACCCTTTCAACGTCTTGAGACTTTTCAGGATGTCAGAACCAGAGTTAAAAGGAAGGTATCCCTTCCCCCAGCACCAAGTCTGAGTTTGGCTCAAACCCAGATGACTGGCACATCCCATCATATCCATTTAATAATGTCATCTGAGGTCTGAGGGCATTTCCATTAACTCTGTAACACCAGCCATAATTCTTGTGTCTCATCCAATCTATGTCCAATATTTTTGATTTTAGTGAACAGTATCTGTTAATCATAATTGGGTCAGTTTCTCCTTTGTTGAGCAAATCTATCCTTCAAGCTGTCGATATTAATACAAAACAACCTTTCTGAATCTTCTTATTAAATTGCAGTGTTCACTCTTTCAGGCTCTGCTGGATGTAATCTAATATCTACCAATCTCCAGATATCCCGTTTATTTCCAACTGTTTCTTCCATCTCATTTATCCCTTAATTACCTTTGGTTTGGGTAACCCATAAGAGTTTAAGAAATGTAATGAGTGCAAGGAAGGTTTCATTTCTTTCTGAGACAGGAGTCTAAAGAATATCAGGTAGGGGTATGTGTATGTGTGTGTGTGTGTGTGTGTGTGTGTATCTAACACACTAGAGAAAGAAAGCTATGTCAGTCTGAGACCTTTAGCTCATGGTCACTAGTCAATCTAGTTTAAAGTAAAGAGAAAGGTGTTTTGTATGACTGGACAGTTTTGTTTTAATTCTCTGTGGACTAATATAACCCCCTTCCCACAGCGCACACACACACACACACACATTCATGTCTGTGCACACATACCTATCCAACTCTGCACACACACATACACATCCCCAGAAAACCTGTGTATCCTTTTTATTTACAAATAAAATTGGACACCAAGGAACTCATTATCAAATGGAGCTTTTATGTTTACATTTTAAAATCAAAGACATGAGTTCCTTAATTTTATGGAAAAGCAAAGTAATTATAAAGTGTTTTAAATGTATTAGACAAGGTATATGCAATGGTTGGAAATGTTTTTGTCCCCCCAGAATTCACAGGTTGAAATTCTAACTCCCAAGGTGATGGCATTAGGAGGTGGGGCCTTTGGGAGGTGATCAGGTCATGAAGGTGGGGCCCCCATGAAGGGTTAGTACCCTTATAAAGAAGCCCGAGACCCCCCCTTGCCCTCTTTCTTCCATGCGGGAATACAACAAGAAGTCAATCTGCAGCCTGGAAGAGGGCCTTTCACCAGAACTTAGCCATGCTGGAACCCTGATCTCAGACTTCCAGTCTTCAAAGCAATGGGAATTAAATTTCTGTTATTTATAAGCCACCCCGTCTATGGTACTTTGTTATAACAACCCAAATGGAGTAAGACGGTATGCAAACAAAGCAAACCATTTTTGATATTTGGGAAAATCTAAGATCTTTAATAGTAGTTCGAGATTTTCAACAAATCCTAATACTGAGTACATATCAGTATATGTGTGTATCCACAATACACAGTGTCATAAACACACACATATAAGCACCATCTGCATTATATAATAGGCACACCTGTATCCTCAGTGTTGGTGTACAGATGCATTCATGTTACCTATACAGTATGTTCTGAAGATAGTCAATAAACTCAGACCCAAGACAGTTCTCCTATCTTTTAATTCTACACAGAAATCAGGATGCACCTGATAAACAGTAGAAGATGTAAGAGAGGCCAAGTGCGGTGGTTCTTGCCTGCAATCCCAATTTTGACAGACTGAGGCAGGAGAATCGCCTGAGCTCAGAAGTTCAAGACCAGCCTGAGCAACCTAGCAAAACCTGGTCTCTACTAAAAATCAAACAAATGTAGCTGGGCAAGGCAGCATATGTCTGTAGTCCCAGCTACTTGGGAGACTGAGGCAGAAGGATTACCTGAGCCCAGGAGATCAAGGCTGCAGTGAGCTGTGATCCTGCCATTACACTCCAGCCTGGGTGACAGAGCCTTTGGGTGAGCAGAGCAGAATTCAGGCATTTCTGGGTCCCTGGTTCCGATGCTGTCTTATGGGCACCACTTGTTCCTAACAGGAAGCTCTATTTGTATGCAAGTTATAATTACCCATCAAACCTGCGGCTCTGTGATCTTTAGCAAAATCACTGGGTGTTGTTTTCAGAAATAAATTCGATACAGAAACGGAGAAAATGCACAGAGTAACTCTAGACATTTTTGCCAACAACACATCCCCGATTTTGGCTTAGCTGCGGTGAGCCCTTGGCGTGTTTCCTGATCCAGGGTCCAAGACTTTCTTTCCCTGGGCACAGAGACTGGAAGAGAGTCCTTCCAGGCCAACAGGCTCTTGGCTGCATTGCTCTCTGCTTAGCAAGCTGTCCTTTTTACATTTCGACCATCGTACAACCACCCCTGGTTCCCAGACCTACTGCAAATAATGAATGATTCATACCCAGTTCTCTGCCACAACATTTAGTCATAATTCACAGAGTAATTGATCCTCTTTCTCAGTCTGTCAATAACTTGGCCAGGTATAAATATATATGAGAAGGGCTTTTGTTTTGTAAACTGTGGTTATCCTAACTAATGAGGACATTGACTATTTAAATTAATTGACCATGCTCCCAGGGAATAATGAAGACATATTCTGTCTGTACACAAATCAAGGTCTTGCTATGGCAGTATAAACGATGTATAAAGTAGGCAAAATGATTGTCAAGCCAACTGAAAAGCTTTAAAGAACAAAAAACAGTCACCGACTGTTTCATTTGTGAGGAAACTAGACATTGCCCTCCTGGGAAGAAAAGTAATTAATTTCTCAAGTTACTACTATCCTGAAAGCATTTTTTTTTTCTTTGAGATGGAGTCTCGCTCTGTCTCCCAGGCTGGAATGCAATGGTGCAACCTCGCTCACTGCAACCTCCACCACCTGGGTTAAAGTGATTCTCCTACTTTGGCCTCCCGAGTAGCTGGGATCACAGGCACCCGCCACCATGCCCAGCTGATTTTTGTATTTTTAGAAGAGATGGGGTTTCACGACGTTGGTCAGGCTGATCTCGAACTCTTGAACTCAGGTGATCCGCCTGCCTCAGCCTCCCAAAGTGCTGGGATTACAGGAGAAAGCCACTGCACCCGGCCCCAAATGCATCTTTAAGCAAAGGGTTTCAATATGCATAGCGGCAGTCCTTTTCCAGTCGCTAAATTGACAGCTTCTTTTGCAGCAAAGACCAAACCAGTCAATTTCTGGCGTGTTCACAAGTCGAGACCTCCACTATGGCAGAAGCACTCTCTCCTGGCTCTTTTAACTCATCATTGGGACTGCAAAATGGCTTGACAAAGTCTACGTGTTTTTGCAGAAGCTAGGTATCCTATGATCTAGACGTAAAATCAAGTCAAAGGAAAGCTTCATAGGCTTTTTTGGAAAATGGGAGTATAAAGGTACTTACCTTGGTAGTGATTTCTTTAAGTGACAAGTTGAGGGATTTTATTCTTTCCTGGAGGCTGGAAAAATTAAAAAGAGGAGATTGGTCTTCTTGGTAACCACAATTCAATACCACCACAGTTAGGAATACTGCAAAAAGTGAACCTTCCACTGGTCTGATGGATGAAGAAGTGCAGGAGGAAAGATGATGCCAAATTGGTTCCATTTGACTATGGAATAAATATGGTGCTAGGAAGCAGACCTTTCCTCCCTTATTATGCCTTACTAAAGCTAGTATTACAATTTTATCATGCCCGGAGTGTACATCTACTGATAACGGGAAGAACAGCCAAGGTGTGCTCCTGGCAGCAAAGGATTAAAATCTGCATTCCTATAACCACCTTCCCAGAAGGAAGGTGTATGCTGAGTAGTGTCTCACTAGCAGGGAATCAAATAGTATCTATTTGGGTAGACCATGCCATTCAGCAAGTACGTACCCAGTGCCCTCTGCATTGAGCACTGAAGTAGAGCATAAAGGAGAGACATATATTTAAAGTATGTCTGAGATAGCACCCCTTAGGTTCTCCCGCTTCTCTTTTCTCCTTAGCACTTTTCACCTTGACATATTTATTTATTCACGTAATTTCTCTCTCTCCCACTGGAACTTAAGTTCCACGAAGGCAGTGACTGTCTGTTGTGTTCATTCCTGCATCCCCGTTGCTTAAACAATTCCTGGAGCTTGTTAGTCAGCCCTCAGTCAATATCTGTAGAATGAATGAATCAATGCAATTAAGAGTCAGATCTTATTATGAAGGTTGTTACCTAGTGGAGAAGAAACACACGCACGTGATTCGCTATAATATAAAGCAAGAGGAAAAAATTACTATAAGGGGAATAGAAAATCAATACTAGGAGAAAACTGCTACATAAAAGCTGTCACCAGGCAGAATATTGTCTGCCTTGAGCAATGGAGACAATAACTTGTGGAGCAATTTAGAACTAGGAAAGCTTACCGGAAGAGGTGAAAAGTGAACTGGGCCTCAATGGAAAACACAAAAAAACAACAACAAAAAAAAGGAGAATGAAATTCTAGCAAGAAGATAAATCTAACTGGACCAAATGGTTCTCACAGGTGACTTGTGAAAGATAAAGTTAAACAAGGAAATGACTATTTCTGGTAGGAAAGGAGAGGGAAGGATGGAGTGGGGCCTATCTGTATCTACAATGTTTGCTTATTTATTTAGTTAGGGGCCGGGCGCAGTGGCTCAAGCCTGTAATCCTAGCACTTTGGGAGGCTGAGACGGGCGGATCACGAGGTCAGGAGATCAAGACCATCCTGGCTAATATGGTGAAACCCCGTCTCTACTAAAAAAATACAAAAAAACTAGCCGGGCGAGGTGGCGGGCGCCTGTAGTCCCAGCTACTCAGGAGGCTGAGGCAGAAGAATGGCGTGAACCCAGGAGGCGGAGCTTGCAGTGAGCTGAGATCCTGCCACTGCACTCCAGCCTGGGCGACAGAGCGAGACTCCTTCTCAAAAAAAAAAAAAAAAAAGAAATATCAAGGGCAAGCTTTAGTCAGTATTAAATGACAGACTAAGGAGTTTTGAGTTTTATTCCTCAAGCAATAAGAAATCATTCCATTTTTTAGCAAGAGAGCAACATGAAAAAAATGTTTTCATTTTTTAGAAAACTAATTGGGTGGCACTATGAGAGATGATTTGGAGGAAGAAAGTCTGAATGTGACAAAGCCAGGCAGGACCCTTCAGCAGTGTAAGCCAGTCGGGGGCGCACGGCCCCGCAGAGTGATACGGGTCAGAAAGGGGAGGGAGGAACAGGACTGGATTACGTGGATGCTCAGAGCAGTGAGAACATCCATTCTAGAGTCTTCCATTCTTTCATGCATTCATGAACTCATCCATTCTTCAAACATCTATCTGCTGGGCACCCAGCAAGTTAGGGACTTAGAGCATGAAGACATGGTTCCTGCCCACAACCACTTATTGCTGCTAGATATGCCAGAAAATGTAACAGATGCCAGAAGAGGAGTGATTACTTGATTAAATGATGACCTGCAAAAGGAAAGGTCAAGGTTTTGGGGGTATGTGTGGGGAGGGGGTGCAGGGTGTCAGGAAATCTTATACCAGGGGTTGCCAAGTATTAGAGCTAAGCTGCCAATTTGCTGATTTTTGTTTGTTTGTTCTTCAACCGTAAGAACAATGTTTTGATGTTATCACATCCACCAATTTGTCATTTCTGAGTATAAGCAAACTCGTTTCAATTGTAAACACCTGGGAACTGGTGCGGATCCATACTAATCAGTCATTACCACTTGGGACCTACTTTCAACAGAGGAGGGTTTTCCAGTCCAGCTGAGATCAGCCCAAAAGGAGGAAGTGAGGGTTGACAGAGGTGGAGCATGTGACACCAGACTCTTCAGAATGCAGGAGTTGCCATCTGACAAAAATTAGTGTACTCAGTGGGAACAGAGGAAAACAACCTTTGGAAGCCTGCCTGGAGAATTCTAGACTCTGGCTGGCTGGGGACTGGATCTTTTGAGAGAATGTAAGGCAGAGTGTCACACAGACACGGAGATTGGGGCAGATGAAACCACTTAGGGTGGTGGGGAGAGAAGAACAGAGGGCATCCAACGTGGACCCGGTCTGCTTCTTCCTCTGATTCTAATAGCAGCACCAGCTTTGGACGGCTAATGCCTGCTGTCCAAACTGAAAACCTTCCTTGGGCAGAAATGCACTTTCCCTTGCTGAGCTCGTGAGAGTCTATTCAACAAATACATTTTTAACAAATGGTTCACCACATCATTGAACCTATGTGAGCATTTAATAGTGTATTATAAGTAGATGTTCCCAACCACACACACAGACTAGCTCATGCATTCACAATTCAGATGAGTAGCAGATCCTCTTACTGATACTGAAATTTTAGCTGACCCAAAACAGCCGTGCTGTTAGCTAATGCCCAACATACCACATAAAAAGTAGGTCAAGCACCGTCTTTCCAGGGGTTGACACAGTTCACTGGTCTGGGCTCAGATCTGGCCCTATCCCAGAAAGAAAATTAGTCTCCTCTTAGATATCATGTTAGAGGAAGGAGGCAATGGTGCAGATAATTAAATGCATTGTTTTATATTTAATTTGATTTATATTTAATTTATGCTATATTCCTTTTTGCAACAGATTTACCTTCCCAATTATGTTTTGCTCAGGCTACTATTAACATGAGTTGTATCCCTGGAGTATATACAGAATAAAAGCAATTGTGGGGGAGCAGACGATATGAGTAATCTATATACTATGCTAGTGGGTTACAGGCTATTTATAATAGAAGAATTCTCTCAAACCAAAGTTTACACAGCATTATAAAATATAATAAAGATAACAGGGAATCTGCTTTTATTGAAGAGGGGTGTCTGGCCTAGGGTACAAAGATGTCACTTTACCCCCGCCACACACACACATTGCTGCTGCCATCACACTGTGGTCCCCAAACCATAATTCCAGGAGCAGGAATACAAACCGAAAACCAGAAAATAAGACCAGTTCAATGTTGATAAGCAAGAATTCTGTGTACTTTAAATGAGTATAACCAATCCCCACTTTTTAAAAAACTTGCATATTATTCATAACAAATATGAACTATCTTCTCAGATGAAATTATGCCTTATCCTAGAAACACATAATTTGTCCACACAAATTAGCAAATATGTTTTCAGAAACACACCAGACCTAATTTACCCAAATCAGTATCTTCATTCCAAGTGGCTGCCCCGGAAATAACAGAGTCCAACGCTTATTGAACACTTACTATGTACCAGACACTCTCCCAAATTCTTTATGCAGATGAGCATTTTAAATTCTTATTATAACTCTATGAAGTAGAAACTACAATCATCTACATTGTAAGACAGGAAAATTTAATCAAAAAGACTAAGAGAGATTTAAGTAACTTTCCCAGGGGTAACCAGTTGGTAATTATGGGAGATTAAATGGTAACCCAGGCAGTCTAACTATCTGCTCTCCTAACTACTCAACAATACTAACTACTGCTCCCAGAAGCTGTGTACCTATTTAAAATGAACTGTCATCATCCAGACAAATTTTTTGAATTCTACTTTAGAATTTTGTTAAATGTACAATATAATCAATATCATGATTTGTAAATACACGTTATTCTTTACTCACAAACTGGTGTTCCAATCATATGACCAAATTTCACCCTCAACAAATGAAACCTTAGAAAAATTGAGACTACTGACATGAATGTGCTGCACAGAACGTACATCAGTAGCAGATGGTCCTGGGGGTGATGACTGTAGCAAAAGGAAATTAAATGCAAAGGTGCCTGTCACCAGTTGAGTTGTGTACCCCAAAATTCACAGGTTAGAGTCCAAATCCCCAGTACCTAAGAATGTGACGGTGTTTGGAGATAGGGCTTTTCAATAGGTAACAAATTTAAAATAAAGTCATTAGGGTGGACCCCAATCCAATATGACTGGTATCATTATAGGAAGAGATGTGGAGGGCCGAGTGTGGTGGCTCACGCCTGTAATCCCAGCACTTTGGGAGGTCAAGGTGGGTGGATCACGAGGTCAGGAGATCTAGACCATCTTGGCTAACATGGTGAAACCCTGTCTCTACTAAAAATATAAAAAATTAGCTGAGTGTGGTGGCGGGTGCCTGTAGTCCCAGATACTTAGGAGGCTGAAGCAGGAGAATGGCGTAAACCCGGGAGGCCGAGCTTGCAGTCAGCCAAGATCACGCCACTGCACTCCAGCCTGGGCTACAGAGCCAGACTCTGCCTCAAAAAAAAAAAAAAAAAAGACAGATGGGGAGACAGACACTCGTGGAGGGAAGACCCTCTGAGGACAAAAGAGAAAATGGCTATCTGCAAGTCAATGAGAGGAGCCTCAGAAGAAACCAGCCCTGCCGACACCTTGATCTTAGACATTCAGCCATCAGAGTTGTGAGAAAATAAATTTCTGTTGTCTAAGCCACCCTATCCACGGTACTTTATTACGACAGCCCTAGCAGACTCGTGCATGTGGAATTTTCCATTTCTCATGG